GATAACCGCGCAGCCGACTCATGTTTTTAAACACAAAGAAATCGGGTTTCAGCGAACAGGAATGCCCGTGGATAGTACAAAATATTCATAGCAGGTGGCACCTCATTTGTCCATAGGATAGGGACCCATAAGCCTCTGTCGTAGACGCATCCATCGCGTTTTTTCTACTCGAAGTTCTCTGACTACTGAAATCCCACTATTGTCCTGATGGATTTTTGTTTTAAGGCACGAACAGTAGATAGATCTCGTCCCACTTAGATGTTTTCAGAATTGTGCCTACTTCCGTGAATGGTTTACAGTATATCAGCCTACTTCTATTGGGAGAAAACCCACCATTTAATGCTCCATCCAATTTGTACTGTGGCCCAAGAGTATAAATCAGACGTTTTGCTTCTTATTGGTTTTCTTAAAATTTAACGAGAATTTACGCAAAACGTTGTTTGGAGACCTGTACCACTACGATGACGCCGAACAGAGAGCAAATATGCAAATATGCAGTTTCTCCTCCAAAATGTTTGACACTTTTTGTTTGCCTTGCGCCTTGAGGCCTTCATTTTGCTGGAACTCGCTGAAAGCACTTTATATTTTTTGATACTTTTCACTCCAGAGACCTTTTTGTTCAAACATGTTTCTCCGTGATCTCACGACACGGATTTCATCTTACTTTCTGTCTATAGAAGAATAACCGACAACTGGGTGGTTTACTTCTTGTAGTAATAAGACTAAGACATATTTGTTCGTGTGACCTGGTACACACCCATGATTTTCATTCGCAGCCTACCAGCAGTAACTCTACAAGCTGTCTCACTAGGAAAGTACGATAAGACGGAAGTAGGAACCCCTTCCAACATCACGGATGACCATGCGCTAAAGTTCAGGGGGGCTGAATGTTCCCGTTTTGTAACCCAAACCTTACTCTTAATCTTTGTTTCTGGAATTACGGGGGTTCCCATTCCCGTATCCTGCCAAAAATACACTTCGGACTGGGGAAAGTTTCGTCGGAGGCGTATCTGAGAAGCTACCACCAGAGCCCCTTACTATCCCACAAACCCCAAAGTCATTGACAAAAATGCTCAGCGCTGATTGCGACGGGCAAACTGTCGTAATAGTGAAAAAGGTTGTTTCTGCTACACTCATTGCAATCATAGCCCATATGCCTTTCAAACAACTGACTCTCTTTTTCGCTTTAACGTTCTCTTGTTTGCCACTAACCGCTGCCTCTTCCACATCTCCAGCACTCTGCGTCGTCAGTGGTCTGACCATCCCTGGTTCAACACGCCAAACAGCTACTCCAAAGAGGTGTCCACCTTGCCGGGTCGCCAGCCCGTTGCTCACTGGGTGTC